CTGGCTGACCGTGCGTTCCTTGACCAGAACCCTGAGGGTGTGCCACTGCGTGAGGTTCCACTGGATGATGATTCGAAGTTCCTTGCGATGGAGCTGGAGCGCAAGCGGCTGATGGACGAGGACCCACGCAAGAATGCGCAGAAGATTGCTGATTTAGAGAAGGATATGAACGACCGCGCCCACGAGTTGGCACGCGAGAAGAAACTGGCTGACCGTGCGTTCCTTGACCAGAACCCTGAGGGTGTGCCACTGCGTGAGCTGCCGCTGGATGAGGATCCGCAGTTTGTTGCGATGGAGCAGGAGCGTAAGCAGCTGATGGACGAGGACCCACGCAAGAATGCCCGGAAGATTGCTGACTTAGAGAAGAAAATGAACGACTGCGCCCACGAGTTGGCACGCGCGAAGAAACTGGCTGACCGTGCGTTCCTTGACCAGAACCCTGAGGGTGTGCCACTGCGTGAGCTGCCGCTGGATGATGATTCAAAGTTTCTTGCGATGGAGGAGGAGCGCAAGCGGCTGATGGACGAGGACCCACGCAAGAATGCCCAGAAGATTGCTGATTTGGAGGAGGAAATGAACGACCGCGCCCACGAGTTGGCACGCGAGAAGAAACTGGCTGACCGTGCGTTCCTTGACCAGAACCCTGAGGGTGTGCCACTGCGTGAGCTGCCGCTGGATGAGGATCCGGAGTTTCTTGAGATGGAGCAGGAGCGCAAGCGGCTGATGGACGAGGACCCACGCAAGAATGCGCAGAAGATTGCTGATTTGGAGAAGGAAATGAACGACCGCGCCCACGAGTTGGCACGCGAGAAGAAGCTGGCTGACCGTGCGTTCCTTGACCAGAACCCTGAGGGTGTGCCACTGCGTGAGCTGCCGCTGGATGATGATTCGAAGTTCCTTGCGATGGAGGAGGAGCGCAAGCGGCTGATGGACGAGGACCCACGCAAGAATGCGCAGAAGATACGCAGCTTGGAGAAGGAAATGAACGACCGCGCCCACGAGTTGGCACGCGAGAAGAAATTGGCTGACCGTGCGTTCCTTGACCAGAACCCTGAGGGTGTGCCACTGCGTGAGCTGCCGCTGGATGATGATTCAAAGTTTCTTGCGATGGAGCAGGAGCGTAAGCGGCTGATGGACGAGGACCCACGCAAGAATGCGCAGAAGATTGTTGATTT